ACAGCTGTGTCATCTTCAGCAGGAACGGATCTTGGAGCATTCTTTGGGCGTGAACACCAACTTTGGGAGATAGTGCTTCTCYGGATCAGGTATATTCCTCCCATTTGTCTTTTGGTACAGATCTGGTTTGATTATGGTTCAGGTAGGATCCTTGAATATTATATTCTAAATTTAGAGAATATGATTCCTAGTTGGGAGAAGGTAGGAAAATTTTTGAAATTCGCCCACCCATTCCGCAACCTTCATGGCATCCATTGGATGGATCCTACCATTCTTTCATCCACATGTATTGAAAACATTTCCCCATGAGAAATTTGCAACATAGTTTTCAAAACCGAATCGGACCAGACACTAGGACTAAAAAAACTGGGAACCGGCCACCCTGTTTTACCTCATAGCTGCTTTTGACCAAAAACCATTGATTTGACCAACGAACCATTGACCCAAGTGGTTGAATCATCGACCCAAACAACAATTTTTTAACTTTTTTTTATTTTTTTTGTCAGAACATGCCATCCATTCGGACTAGACGGTCAGGTCATTCAACCCGGAAATCGGACCCAGAATGGTTCCTTGTCTGGTCTAGTTTTAAAAACCTTGATTCGCAATGTCCAAATGTAGTGTCCTATGGGAAGAGTTTGTGGATAGGAGATCTGAGTTTTTTAAAAAATGTTTGAAGTATATTTGTCCTTCCCAAATCCTCCATCTCCATTGCTCTAACTGCCCCCTCTTACATATAGACAAGGTTCAAAATATCGATACGTCCGATACGCCGGTAGGGGCATATCGGGCGTTTCGATACTTGTTTTTTTATTTATTTTTTTTCAAAACTGGTTCAAGGGAGCTGGTCTAAGACCCCTCCATCCCCTGAATCGGTCAGACCCCCGATACACCCACTATATAGGCATATCGGAAGGGTCCCGGAACGATACGTATCGGCCCATACATAACGATACTTTTAACCTTGCATATAGGCACAAAAAATTAAATTGATCAACAGATCAGTCAAACTCACTGGCTTAGAGATTGAAAATTTGGACTCGTGGAAGAAGTTTTAAAACAGCTGAAGCATTATTTTTCTTCAAATAGCCAAGCTTTTCTCCCAATCCTATGGCAATGATTCTTCAAATACCATTCCATAGCTGTTCAGACTGTGGCAATGATTCTTCTTATTCCGTTGAATGCTAATTCTTGTTGATCTCAACAGTGAGGCACAGGAAATAAAAGCTTCAAGTCTTTTAACTCATGGGATCAAACAGAGATATAAAAAGAGATGGATGAAAATCATGAACTTGATTATGGAAATGGGTGAAATTCTGTCCATCTCAGTTACAAGACGATGGGATCAAACGGAGATATAAAAGGAAGATGGTAAAGGAACTAAGAAGTATTGTAACCATCCGTTGAGAATGTCAAATGTGAAGAAGAATCATATACATGAAAAACACCAAATGGGCAAGATCAGAAAAATATTGAGATGGTTCCTATTTATAATCTTTATTCTTTGTTGCTTCCTTGTTACAACAAAAAAATGGAGATCTGAGAATATATTCATTGATAGGTATTCCTCCATTTCCTAATATGTTTCCTTCAACGTAAAGCTAACAAAATGGATCCAACCAAAGGAAAAAGAAGAAACTCAACTACATAATAAGAAATAAAAAAAAATGAGATGAATAAGATACACTATGTGAAGGGAGGTTACAGTTTAAGAGCAGCAATTGCTTCAGGTTTAAAATCAACCCTAAGGCCCAGCACCCTCCTTACCTCTGCTGGAGTTAATCTCCAGGTCATGGGTCCTGAATTCTCACCCCAGAAATCCAATATCTCAGAGACCTTCTCCAAGTTGAGGATAGTTGCCATCTGTGTTAGACGAGCGAACTTGTCCCTCACAGTCCTCTGGGTCATGCCAGAGAAATGACTCACCAAAGCCCTCACATCTCTGTCAAGCTGCAGACCCCCAAGCTGACTGAACCTCTTTTGCATCATGATGACTTCCAGCCTCTTCACAATGAAGTCAATGATGAGATGAACAAATGAGTCATAATTGTTGGGTGTCATCAGTGGCTGAAGCCATGCGGCATTGGTCTCAACAGCGTGGAGTAGTTTCTGTACCCATGGGTCATTTACCTCATTTTCTGCATAATCGGCTTCAGACAATTCATAGCTAATGGTAGCCACACTATCCAGCACAGGACGAATGCGGGGTGTCACAGTTGACACTAATTGTTCCATGCCAACATTCAAGGTTTGCTTAAAACTGTTGCTCATCTCACCCAATTCAGATAGACAGGATTTCACCCTCTCTCTGTCAGCTGGAGCAGGGAATACCTGATGAAAAAGTTAATGATCATGTTAATGGATAAACTACATATGATGTTTCCAAACATGCAAAGAGACAATCATGTGTACTAGAACACAATCTAGTGAATGATTTCAGAGCCAGCAATAGCAGTTCTGAAAACATGGCAAAGGGAACCGAGTTCCTTTAGGCTGTGTTTGGCTTGAAAGAAAAGAAAAGGTAGGGAAAGGAAGGGTTTGTATAGGTTTCCCCACCTTTCCCTACCTTATCTTTCAAACCAAACACAGGCTTAGGTTCAATCATAATAATCATGTAATGTACAAACTACAGCAAGCTAAGACCCAATTATGTTCACAAGAACACAATCTGGTGAATTATATAAGAGCCAACCAATACATGTGGTTATGAACAAATTGTATCACCAAATTACATATACAGTCAGAGGCACTGGCTATCTCGCTGGTAAAGGGCCCGTTTGGCAAGTCTTTTTGGGAAGATCTTCCGGCCCGAAGCTAGTTTGGCAGATACACGTCTTTCCGTGTCTTTCCACATAAGAATAAAACGTGAAAGACGCAAAGAGCTTCCTGAAATCAGCCCAAAATGGGCTTCTCGCGTCTTTTCAGTGCTCCGGCTTTTGGCGGCTAGATCTTCCACAAACCAAACGCGCCAAATGGGCCCAAAGTCTCCAGTTGGTTGTACCAGAGACCTGAGATCAAAGTCCCACCTTCACCAGGGCTGGGTGGGGGGGTTGGGGGAGGGCTACCCCTGTTGTGTAGCCCACTTGCCTACCAAAACAAACAGTACGAATGCAGTCAAATGGAACTGATTTCCTCAAGTATGCACCAAATATTTTGATTATTATGGTTTAGTTGTATTGCATAAACAAAAAGAGAGAAGTGGAACAATAATGCCCTTAACCAGAAAAAAAGAAAAGAGAAGAAAGGTCATGTTTTCTTTTTTTTAATAATATGGATTCCCACTCATTACAGAAATGGCCTTTGCACTGTTATTTCAATCCTCTAAGATATGGCTTTCAGTTCATGTATAGCCCAACAGAAAACTGTAATTTCAAACTTCTGATCCAACTTGGCCTTCACACCATTCAAATACACCAAACTAGCCTCTAAGATATGGGCAGAACTATTACCAGATATTGGCAAATATCAAAAATATGGTCCCCATTGTATCCAAGGACTGTTTCTTGAACCTCATGATATAATAATGGAATGTTCTTTGACAACCATTGCTCTCAAGAAAAAGAATTTTAAAAAATCTTGACACATCAGGAAATAGCATGCAACTCCACCCCACTTAGTTCTGCATAATAGGCAAGAAGAGAATTTTGATTTTCAGATCAGCAAGAGTCCCATATGTTTCAACTAAGCATGGAATATCATTTGTATAACTTGAGGTTGGCAGCAGTCTTGATGGGCTTCTTAATTAAATCAGATGTGTCTCTATTCTCAAGTTCCACGACTTGGAAGTTCCACAACTCTTAAAAAGACTGGAGATCTTTCCATCACTCAGAAGGACAAGGGAGAGGAGAACACGGGAAAAAGATTTGCTTTGCTTAAACAAGGAAAAAAAATTTTAACTCTCCAAAAAGGACCAGATCCCAGATTAGTGATATAATTTAATTATCTTTTTGCATACTCATGAAAAGAGGACACAATTAATTATCAGAAGACTTCATATTCATAATCAATGATCTATGATACCTTGATACCTGCACAAGGGTGCCATATGTTGAGCACTTGAGTTGTTAGTAGAAATTTCATATCCAATACCTTATCGAGCCTGATCCTTGCCATATCTGAGTAATGTGGTTAATGCCTCAGGGCCCAACATATAGCATTCACTTACCAATGCCTCTTGGCTCTGGATATGGCAAAGATGTATGTGAGTATCAAATCAACTTTTCTCAAATCCTTGCCATCAAATGCAACTGAACAAGGTTCTGACTTTGTTTATGTAGTTCGACAGAGAAGAGAGAAGAGAGAAAAGAGAAGAATCTATTCTATTAATCTAAAGCTTGCAGCGCCAAAGTATTTATACTTGGGGCGACAGCTCATAAGAAATACAAGAGGAAAGGACAGAAATATCCCTACAAGGCCACAGGCCACTACACATTACAACACTCCCCCTCAAGTTGGAGCATATATGTCAATCATGCCCAACTTGTTACATAGTTCATTATGCCGTAAATAGTGAAGACCCTTTGTAAGAACATCTACTAATTGTTCCTTGGAACTGATGTAAGGAGTACAGACTTCCCCCTTTTCAAGTTTCTCCCTTCTGAAGTGCTTGTCAACTTCAATATGCTTGGTCTTGTCATGAAGAACTGGATTGGCAGCAATATTATGGCAGCCTTGTTGTCACAATAGAGACCCAACTCTCCAATCAAATTCTTTACCCATAGTACTTCAGAAACTCTAGTGCTAAGCCCTATACTCGGCCTTAGCACTAGATCTGGCCACAACACTTTGTATTTTGCTTCTCCAAGTAACCAAGTTTCCACCAACAAACGTACAATACCCACTAGTTGATTTCCTATCATCAACTGCCCCAACCCAATCTACATCTGTGTAGACTTCCACTTTCATATAATCATGTTTCTTGAAAAGTAACCAAGTTCCTAGATACTTCTTCAGATACCTGAGAACCCTCTCAACTGCCTCTAAATGAGAGGATGTTGGTGCATGCATAAACTGACTAAGTACATAAACAACAAGTTATATTTGGCCAAGTCATTGATAGGTAGAGAAGTCTTTCTACCAGCCTTTGAAATTTCTTGACATTTGTCACGGGTTCTCCAATACAATCACCAAGCCGATGGTTTTCCTCAATAGGAGAATTTACAGGCTTTGCTCCCAACTTTCCTATGTCCTGCAAGAGATCTAGGACATACTTCCTTTGGGAAATGAAGATGCCTTTTTTTGAGTGAGCAACCTCAATACCAAGGAAATAACGTAGCTGTCCCAGATCTTTCACCTCAAACTGCATTGCAAGGGATTCTTTGACCTTTTTAATCTCAGAGTCCCAATTTCCCGTAATCACAATGTTATCAACATAGACAATTACCACAACATTCATCTGGTTTCTCTTGACAAATAGAGTATGGTTAGATTGGCACTACTTGAACCCAATTTGCTGAAGGGCCAAGTGAAATCTACTAAACTAGGTCCTTGGAGATTGTTTCAAACTGTAGAAAGACTGGGCTGAATGGGCCCTAGCCCATTTGTGTCTTTCTAATTGGTTCTTTCTAATTATGTTTTCTTATTGGGCCTTTTCTTTATGGGCCTTTAGCTCTTGTTTATGTTTTCTAAGTATAGTGCTGATGTGGACGCCTACTTAAGGGCAATCTTGTAAATTATGTAACTTAAGCAAATTTATTAAAAAGGATTACTGGGAGAAAGAGGAGATTATCAAACTCCTCCTTTCTTCTCCAATCTTCCTTCTTCTTGCTGTCTTCTTCTTCCTCCCTAATTTTTTTTTGCTTTATTCTAAAATATTCTACTAAATTTATTGGTTTGAATCACATCTTGATATCAGAGCAGGTTTCCCTTCCGTTTTTCCCCTTTTTTTCTTTTTTCCATACACTTTTTTTTCTAATCGAAAGGTGTATGAAGAGATAAATTGTTGATTATTCAGAGATCTTATTTGCCTAGTTGGTAGAGGGTTTGGAGAGTGAGAATCTGGCTGAAGATTGCCAAGAAAGTGGGACTGTAGATTTTTTTTCCCAAAACCCTAGCCAATTAGAGAATTTTCAGTTACGGGTTGAAGAGGCTATTTGGGTGTGGCGCTCAAGGCTTGGAGGGTTCCTTTTTATCTCCAAAAGTGGGTGGCTGCAGTTGGAAGTGTTTTGGATAACTCTGGTTTGAGCGGCTACCTCTTCTCTCTTTCTCCCCGAAGGCCAAGTACGGTGAAACCCTAGTTTTGGGACTTTTGAGTGCTTGACTGACCTTAGTTAGGTCTATAAAGGTTAAAAACATTGTTTTTTTTTTTCGTTTGATTGATAAAGCAATCTGGAAGTGAGGTGAAGCAGATCCCGGTGTCGGGGGTTGGTCCCGTAGATTCCATTTTGACAAGAATGACAACAATTAAACTTGACAGGACAAATTACCTTTGCTTGGGCACAATCTATTAAGATCCATGTCTGTAGTAGAGGTAAACTAGGGTTTCTAACGGATAGTAAGGCGATGCCGGATAAGACTGATCCTACATATGAGAAATGAATGCAGGATAAACTATGCAGTTATTGGGTGGTTGGTAAATTCTATACAGCCCCATATAAGTCAACACTATCTATGGATGACTTCAGCCAAGGAGATTTAGGATAGTGTGACAGAGACATATTCTCAAAAATTAAATGTTGCAAGGGCCTGCAAAATAAAGAGTGATGTGAAGAATTTAAGACAGGGGGAGAAGAGTGTGGTTGTCTATTATTCGATGTTGAAATCACTATGGCAGGAGATAGATGTTATGGAAGCATTTGTATGGGAAAGCACCAAAGATGTTGAAACTTTTAGGAAATTTGTGGAAAGAAACATGGTGTTTGAGTTCCTTACAGGACTCAATCCTGAATTTGATATTACAAGGCAGAATATCCTGGCCAAGGATGAAGTGTTACTTGCACAAGCATACTCTATAGTGAGCAGTGAAGAGAACAGGCAACAGGTACAGCTACAGACCCCACTTCCTCCAGAACATTTTGCACATGCTAGAATAAAACCAAAGGGGCTAAATGAAAAAAAAGGAGGTGATATGTGAATACTGCAAGAAGCCGAAACATACTAAGGATTCTTGTTGGAAGCTTCATCTAGATCTTCTTCCTGAGAGGTTTCAGAACAACAACAACTTTAAGAAGGGTGATCAGTATGGAAAACCCAAGAATGCAAATGTTGCTACACTATCTGAATGTGAAGAAAAATCTGCTATGGAACAGTTGGCAGCAGTGAAGGTAGAATTTGAGAGAGATGGGAAGTTGATAAACCACTTGGAGTCTATTGTTGCATTTTCCTCCTCAGGC